TCCCTTCGTGTAGCAGTGGCCCTCCGCCTTGGTGCCCCAATTCACACTGAATACAAGTGTATTTGCAACAGGGTGGAAGCAGACCAATACGGACTGCATGGGTTGCATTGCGGAAGCACAAAGGGCTGGCATGCAAGACACAACGAGGTCAATGACATCATCAAGAGAAGCCTCGTCTCAGCTGGGTGCCCAGCGGAGAGAGAACCTCGCATCCTAGGGGTCCAAAACCCGGATTTCCCCGCACTTCGCCCTGATGGCATCACCATATACCCATGGAAGGAGGGTAGACAGTTGGTGTGGGACTACACATGTGTATCCACCCTGGCTGACACCTATGTACACTTCGGAGCTGATCAAGCAGGTGGGGCGGCCAACCACAGGGAAACAGCAAAATCACTCAAGTACAGGCGACTGGAAGGTCAATACCTCTTTGTTCCCATAGCGTCTGAGACGCATGGCCCCTGGGGCAAGAGTGCCTTGGGATTTCTCAAGGAATTGGGTTCCAGGCTCATTGACGTCACCAGAGACCCAAGGGCTTCCAGTTTTTTATTTCAGCGTCTCAGTGTGGCGATCCAGAGGGGAAATGCTTGCTGCGTCCTCGGTTCCTGTCCAGAAGCGGAGGAGCTTCAAGAGATCCATAACCTTTAGGCATTTGTCTTGTATGTTTTGTAACCTTTAAATACACAATAAAGGAAAAAAAAAAAAAAAAAGGGAAGGGGGTAGTAGGAGAAAAGCACACAGAAACTGTATTGGAGGGGACCTACATTCCCTCCAATGCGTTATGTGTGGTTTCCTCCGAGGCTATGGGTCCCCCTTCTTCCAGCCAGAGGTGGTACTCCCTTCCCTATTGTAAAAAAAATATATATATATATATATATATATATAATATATATATATATATATATATATATATATATATATATATATATATATATATATATATATATATATATATATATATATATATATATATATATAATGTCTGTATATATTGGAAGGAGGAAGTAGCAGCCACTGGCTGCCACTGCCACTCAGCATGCCAACTTAGTGGTTCGTTATGGTGAACACAAATGTAGATACTTTTATGTACTGTCTGTATATAGTGAATAAAAGCAAAAACAGTATGGTGGGAGGAGAATGTGGGCAAGTGAGGTATTGAGGGAGTGAGTGGCAGCGAGTGGCTGGTGGTCACTCCTCATTGCTTTTTGACTCGTAATACCAACTTAGTGGTTCGTTATGGTGAACAAAACATGCAGATACTTATATATAACTTGTGTATATAATGTAATAACCGACAAAGTATTTATTCCCTGTTTGATGAACATAATAATTGAATCAACAATATGCACACCATAATTTTGAGTACAGCGATGATTCACTCATTTTATTATATAAATATATCACACTACACACTATTTAATAATATTACAGCAAAAAAACTACGAAAAATAAGAGACATTGAAATAATTAGGTAATTATCTCTTTGTGGCCACTCCTGCCTGACAGCTGGGAGCAACAGACCATCTGGGATGCACACTGAGTGAGCGCCTGTTTTTTGCCAGACTTCCCCGCCCTATAGAGGGCAATATATGCCACTTACGATTTTTTATTATTTTTCCCATGATCAGATAACACAAATTAACAGGTTTAGAAGAAAAATATATATATTTTTTTTTTTTGGTATGCGCCTGTGGGTGACAAATGCTAATTAACCCTGAGCAACACAAGAGTTAAACACTGTGCTGTGCAGAGTTTATTGTGAAATTCCCCATGCACATGAAATAAAGTGTTCTGCAAAAATTCTTTTTTCTTTGTAAAATGATAAATTCCCTTCCCTGAACATGTCTATGTAAAAATAAATTCCAAATTCCACTTACTTTGGCTGTGGGAACATGGAGAAGATGCGCTATGATGTCATCAGGGCCTGATTGCCTGTGCATAACTTGCCCAGACTTGGTTGCGCAGGCCATTCAAGCACTGGGTGTTGCCACAAATATATTTTCAATTATTTGTTCTATGTATTTCCAATGCGGTTTTATTTGTTTTTTTATCATATATGATGCATATTTGTGTCCTTTACAATATGTATACAGTAGAATGTTCATAGTGTTCTATGGAACTGTGATACATGTGTCAATAATGTGTCCACAATCAATGTTTATTGTCGCAGTATTGCTTGTTAAAAATTCACTAAAATTACAATAAGTACAGTTTCACACACTATTTACATAGTAACACACTGTATTACACACTCAGTACTTCGAAAGTGAATAATAATCAACAAAGTAGTCCATGGTACACAGCGCGACTTCGCTCTTGTTGCACCAGGTACAGATAAATTTTCGCTTCCTGTTTCTTCATTCTATGTGCTTGCAAATAACGCACTCACGTACACCCTTGGCTTTAGTACTTGTAGGTTGTATGTAGCCAAGCTTGTAAAGCATAAGGTAGTATTGAAAAGATTATATGAAAAGATCAATTTGTAAGGTAGTTTTGAAAAGATCGCTTTGTATGGTCCCACATAGGAAGAGATTCAGCTAGCCTCAAAGAGTGTCCGTCTGTCAGGAAGAAATTAAAGTTTTCTTGAAAATATGTATGGAAAACACCACCATGGAAGCCGCTAACACTGTTCATCTATGCTACTTGTAACAGATGCATCATCACTGAATGCAGAAAATAATTCATCTATATATCATCTAAATAAATTAGAGATAGCATAGGATTGCAAGGGTGACGCTCAGAGCTACAACTGGATACGCTCGCTGTATTGTCCTCATAGGTACTGTATCACTTGCATCCGACCTTTGTGTTAGGTTCTTATTGCGATTAGCTTCACCAATATTATGACCCTTATGTTCTTCACACAATAAGGTTTGAATATCACCAACAGAGCGTTATCTTTCAACTCAGCGTCAGACAGGTGTTTGAGAGCCAGAGGTGCGTGCGCCACCCATGGTTGCTCACCCAGTACTAACTTAGCCAGCAGCCCTATGGCATTCTGGGAATTTTTTCCAAGATGGCTGCCTCTCACTGGAGGTCCTAAGAGTCCATTTTGTACACAACCAACCTCGCACACATTTAGAATGGGTACGGAAAAATCAAAAAGAGTTTTTGTGGTTGGTACAGTTTCCCGCCGACCAAGAATACTTGGTTGGCGCAGTTAAGTGGTTAACCCTCAAACCGCGCATATCATATATAAATGATATCAGTGACAAAACCGAAACCGCGCACATCATTTATATATGATTTCGTGTCTAGCGCTATAATTTAAACCCCCTGCCTGGGATAGGGGCAGCTATAGTACAGCCACGACCGATAGTTGCCAGATGCCACCTAGAAAAAAAATCCAGGCCAACATTCTTGGGTGTTACAGTGTCAGTATTGAGCAAGCCACCAAGGCTGGTGCACGCAGCACGAGCTCACAGCACCGCTGTTCAGCTTGTGACCACAGCATCGCCTACAAGTACCATAATATATATGATACAGCTATTATTTAGCAGTGATAGTATTACTGAAGCCCCCTGACTGTGATAAAACTGACCAGGATTCTGATAATACCAGGATTGTGGTGATATTTAGCGCTGTGCTCCATGGAGGGAGGCGTAAGGCTGTGCGAGGGAGGGTTGTGGCGTCGTCTTCTGACTCTGTGTGGCCACCATTTATTGACTGCACTCACCATACCAGCTTAGTAGTTCGATATGGTGAACACAAATGTAGATACATATATATAACGTGTGTATAGAGTGTGATAACAGCGAGAGGAGAAGGTTGGGAGCCGCCATTTTGGTGAGGGAAGAGCGTCGTCTGCACGTCTTGGCATGGTGTTTACTGATGGCCACTATGGTCTTTGGGCACCATACCAGCTTATTTGTTCAGGTATGGTGAATAAAACAGGTAGATACTTATATATAATATGTGTATATAGCGTAATAACACCACAAACAATATTGTTGAAGGACAAATATTAGTGCGTCTGGCCTTGAGGGCGGCCGCCGATCAGCTGACTGTGTGAGTAGCTACGTCTTTGTTGCCTTTACTCACCATACAACCTTAGATGTACAGTTATGGTGAACAAAACATGTAAATACGTATATATAACGTCTGTGTATAGTGAATAAATACGGAAAGAGTATTGTAGGAGGTGAGTGAGGTGTTGAGGGAGGGAGTGGCAGTGAGTGGCTCGCTGGTGTTTGGCGGTCACTCCTCGTTGCTTTTTGACTCACAAGACCAACTTAGTAGTTCGTTATGGTGTACAAAACATGCAAATACTTATATATAACCTGTGTATATAGTGTAACAACAGCAAAACTATTTGTTTATTGTTTTATAAACATAATAATTGAATCACTAATATGCACACCATAATTTTGAGTACAGCGATGGTTCACACATTTTATAATATAAATATACCACAATTCACTGTATGGAATAATATTACTGCAAAAAAACTAAGAAAAAATCAATCAGAGACATTGAAATAATTAGGTAATAATATATTTGTGGCAACTGCCGTCTGACAGCTCGGGCGGAGTAGACCTCGTCTGGCGAAGTCTCTGCCAACGCCCCTTTTTTGCCACACTTCCCTACCCTATTGCGGCTAAAATATGCCACCTACGATTTTTTTGTTATTTTTTCCGTGATCAGGGAACAAAAATGAACACTTCTATAAGACGAAATAATTTTTTGGAATTTTTTTTTTTGTTGCACCTGTGGGTGTGAATTCCATTTGGGCCCCTAGCGGTTTGAGGGTTAAAGCATGTTTTTCTCAAACTTCATCAAGAATATAATTATTATTAGAGAATTTGAGCATATTTAACTCCTCTTCCTCTGAAGATTCATTTCTTAATCCATGTTTATATATTGTCATCCCTGTTAATTATTGATCCAAATAGTAGGATGCAGCTTTATTAAATGGAATGGCTCAGGACAAATTGTGTTTTTATTATTTACAAAAACCTTTTATACTGTATTGTTATCTTAATTCACTTTAAATGTTGCAGATGCGCCAGTACAGATGTCCACACTGTGACTATACCTGCAACTTCAACTCTTCTTACAATCGCCATTTGCGGCTTCATAATGGTGTTAAGCCATATAAATGTGGCTACTGTGATTTCCATGCCCGAGAATCTTACGTTGTACGTAAACATTGCTCAAAAAGTCACAAGGTGAGATAGCATTTTTACCTTGTTCCCACTTCTATGAGGTAGTGTGACATTAGTCTGGAGGAAAGATAGGGAAGCAGTATAGGAAAGAGAAAAGTAAAGATATTACAAAATTACATTTGTCCATTAATTATGTCTTGCCCACTGCATTACCTTAACCTCTGTGATACACTGCATTTAATGTGACATTCCGGCTAGGTACCGAAAATAGTGTTCCCCCAACCAAAAAAAAATTCATTGTAAATTATTAAAATCCCTTCCCTGAACATGTACATGAAAAAAATAACAACAACAATCTAATTTGGCTGTAGGGACTTGGAGAAAGTGAGTTGTGACATAATCATGTGTTGTGCGACTGTGCGTGAAACACCCAGAGCTGGTTGTATGGGCCTTTCAGGACTCACAAGTTGCCACAAATATATTTACATTTATTTTTCCAATACATTTTCAATGTTTTATAATTTTTTCTGGGGGGTGGGGGGAGTCCCCTATGACTCCCTGGAGCTATCCAGGCTGATAAGGATAGTCCTAACTTTTGGCATCAGTCGATGTGGGTGGAGTTCTAGGCCTACTGGGGGGACCACGGCCCGAACCTGGCCCCCTCAGAGAGGCATGAGAAGCAATAGTCTGTAGATATGCACATGTGATTTTGGAGCATTCTATGTCTGCCATTGACTGGGTCAGGCATCCAGAAAGGTAAGCACCTTAAAACAAACCCCTATTCTGGTGAAACCAACAAAAATAACGAAACAAGTAGACAGAACTCCCCAAGGGAAACGAGCAAACAAACATGACGTCACACGAGCAGCACATTACGAGCCGCACTGCAGGTCTGCGCGGCTCCCCCCTCCCCGAGAGGGAAAAGGAGGAGCCCCAGACCCCCGCGTCGGCGATCCACACCTTCAGTTCCTCGACTGATGGAATAAGGCTTAGTTGTTGTGGCTCCAGCTCCAGATTCTCTTTGTGCTGTGCCTGGGTTCAGTATTTTTCTTCGGTGGTGTGTGAGCTGGGAGTAATATTCACAGGTACTCGGGCTGCATGCCCTTAAGGCACCTTCCCTAAGTGCTCTTTAAGTACCACCCTAGGGGCTTGGAGTTACCTTCCACAAGTCACCTTGGGTCTACCTCTGTTGGTCTTTCGCTGCTTGGCGATTGACCGCCCCGAGTGTTTTAGGGGATTCTTCCCTTGTTTGCCTTGGGGTAAGTGGTAGTTTTTGCACTGATAGGGGCATGGGGTACTGCGTAGCTAGTTTTCACCTATAACAGTGACCACCTCTGTTCCCTTTGGATACGCTGTCCTCTTGCGAGGTTTTTTTTCTTTTTGTTTTTGCCTGGTGGGGGGAGGTGGGGGTCTGCCTCGGTGTCCCTTCCCCTTTGTATTAGGGTTGTTTGTGTTTGGTGGTACCCTCCCCTGCTTTGCCCTCGTGAGTGGACATGTCCCGAGGGTTCAGCTTTAGCAGTATTGGTTGATAGCTTTGGCACCAGTTAGCAGTACCCTGACAGCTGGGTGGACAGCGCTTCAGATTCGTAATCCTGAGGTTCCGGGTTCGATCCTCGGTGGAGGCGGAGACAAAGGGGCAAAATGTTTCTTTCACCCTGATGCGCCTGTTACCTAGCAGTAAGTAGGTACCTGGGAGTTAGACAGCTGCTATGGGCTGCTTTCTAGGGGGTGTGTAACAAAAAGGAGGCCTGGTTGAGGACTGGGCTGCGGGGATGCTAAGCCCCGAAATCATCTCAAGATAACCTCAAGATAACCCTGCCTGGGATAACCCTTAGCAGACCCAGTCTAGGGGCCCTGGGAAACCCCGTGGGGGCACTCGGGTCCACTGGATGTGACCCCTGAGTCTCCTTTCGCTTTGTGCGAGTTTGAGGGTTGCTCTGTCCCCTTGTCTCAGGGTGACGCTCATTGTTTTTGCCTGTCATGCTGCCTGTTGAGTCAGTCACACATTCGACCCAAAGTCCTGCGAGCTTTGTTGCTTGTGTGTGACTCAGTTCACCCAATCTGATGATGATATTATTTGGGTGCAGGCAGCTCGCGCGTTGCAGTTTAGGTGCTGCAGCGCGCTAGGTTGGTTGCTTCCCGAGATGACCTGAGGCTGCCCCATTTTGTTTATAGGGATCAGGACTTGGGGTGTTGGTCACTTTGGCCTTGGTTCTGTCCGCGTCTCTTCATCCTTCCCCTGCTGTGGTTCATTCAGTTCCCTCCCCCCTGCTTCCGGCTCCTAAGTGTCTGAGTGCTTTGGGGTCGGAGGCAAGAGGTATAGTTTAGAGGTTTAGAGGTTTCTGAGACTTGGGCAGTTTCGGGGGTTGCCCTTTCTGGGGTAGCACCAGAGGTCTTACCATTGGGCCCATCCTCTTCCTGCTATCCTGGCTGCCCCAACTTTTTCTTGTGAGGCCGTGGCTTTGGAGGACGACTCGGCCCCGGGGCCTAACGTGGAGGTTCCCGGGGTTGGGGAGGAGCTGACTTGGGGGCCTTGGGCCCCGTTGGACCCCGCCTGGGTTTTCTGACCCTCCGAGTGGGGCTTGCTGTTACAATGAGTGGGTTTTCGTTTCCCCCCTCTGCATACAACTTGGATTTGGGTTCGGCTCCTCCCCTGGTTTGGTTTCGTGTCCCTGCGGGTCCTTCGCTTCCATCCTTCCGGAGGTTTTCAGCTTCCCGCATCTCTCCAGTCGAGGTGCGGGCGGCCATTGTGGCTTACCTCCTGGATTATGATTATTATCCCGATTATGCCTCTATAATGGATCCATCTTCCTTCAGGTTTGGGTGTTCGTCTCCATACTGGGTTTGTTATGAGGTTCCGGAGTCATCCTGGCTAGCGGATTGCCCATTGTTTTCGCTGGATGCTTCGGACATATTCTGTTATACTCGCACGCTTGAGTAGCATGAGGCTTTGAATGTGGTCCAGGTTTACCTGGGGGGCCACTTTGCGCACCGCTGCTATTGGCCCATACGAGGCAGCTGCTATTGGCCCATACGAGGCAGCTGCTATTATCCCATACGCGGCAGCTGCTATTGGCCCATACGAGGCAGCTGCTATTGCCTATACGAGGCAGCTGCTATTGGCCCATACGCGGCAGCTGCTATTGGCCCATGCGGGGCAGCTGATATTGGCCCATGCGGGGCAGCTGCTATTGGCCCATGCGGGGCAGCTGCTATTGGCCCATGCGGGGCAGCTGCTATTGGCCCATGCGGGGCAGCTGCTATTGGCCCATGCGGGGCAGCTGCTATTGGCCCATGCGGGGCAGCTGCTATTGGCCCATGCAGGGCAGCTGCTATTGGCCCATGCGGGGCAGCTGCTATTGGCCTATACGAGGCAGCTGATATTGGCCCATACGAGGCAGCTGCTATTGGCCCATACGAAGCAGCTGCTATTGGCCCATACGAGGCAGCTGATATTGGCCCATACGAGGCAGCTGCTATTGGCCCATACGAATTAATGAGTGCTTTTTCGCTCTGGCTCTTCTGCGGGATGTTGATGCGGTTCTGCTTCATGTGCAGGTTCCCTCCTTGTCGGCAACGCTTTTGGCTGAAGACTTGCACGCACGGGGCTCGTTGGCTTTGGTCCTGCGCTTCTTTTCCCTCCTTGGGCTGTCCTTGGATTGGCTTGCAGAGGATGCAGAGGCACTTGAGGCCGTTCCTGGATCTAGCGCCTTGGCCTCGGCTGCTTGTGCGTCATCTGCTCTTTTGAAGCTGTTTGCGCTGATCCTGTGGGATGCGCTGTTGCGTTTTTTTGCTGCGCGCTTCGCGTGTCGGCAGGTGGTGCTTGCTTCCTCCTTGGAATCCGCTTGAGGCTCTGGCTCTTAGATTGTCGTCATCCTTTTGCCCTTTCTTGTTTGCTGCTTCTGCAGTCGAACAGTATATGCAAGTGGCTTCTTCCAGTTGCTGCCTAATGTCTTACCTGTTGGTTCTCCGGTGGTCCAGGGTGGGTTCCTCCCACAGGGGTCATGCCAGGGCCCGTGCACAGCATATCTCTAGATCCTTAAAATCTAAAGAAAAAAGCAGCGCACAGCATATCTCTAGATCCTTAAAATCTAAAGAAAAAAGCAGCGCACAGCATATCTCTAGATCCTTAAAATCTAAAGAAAAATACACACAAAAATTTTTTATTAAAAAAAATCAATGTCCACGGACATGTCTCCTAACCTAATGAAAATCCACTGGATATAAGTTTGTAAAACTCCTAATATCCCAGAGTTCATACTCAAGTCCGCTGCAACAACGGGTGAACACATTTTTCAGACTGTGTACAACACACTATTTTTCAATAAGTCTCCATACAAAAAAAGGAAAATTTAAAAAAAATATATATATATAAATCAGTTTCTAGGATCTAGCAAAAATCTAGATAAAGTTCCCACTGATCCACGTTTCTAGAGAACCTACTAGATGGTCCTCAAACCAGTTCAATCATAGCAACTTATCTAGAGACGGTAATTTTCTTGGAACAATTTTCTAGATGTTCACTTTCTAACCGGAGGCTCCCCTGCAACCCTCCCCACCCCCCTCCAGTCGGTGGTTTTCACGTATTTTGATATCCAGCCACAGAACTGAAGGTGTGGATTGCTGGCATGGGGGTCTGGGGCTCCCCCCTCCTCCTTCCAGGGAAGGGGGGAGCTGCACAGACATGCGGCACATCTCGTGACATAATAGGGGTTTGTTTTTGAGGCACTTACCTCTCTGGGTGCCTGTCCTGCTCCTGGTTGATGGGGTTCTGGGAGTTCTTCTACTCCCCCAAGCCTGGCCCGAAGCCAGACTTGACTTGTGAGAGTTTGGTCCACCAGGCTGTTGCTTGGAGCAGCCCGCAGGCCCACATACCCACCACAGCCCGGTTGGTCCGGCACTCCTTGGAGGAAACAATCTAGTTTCCTCTTGAAGATGTCCATGGTTGTTCCAGCAATATTTCTTATGCTCGCTGGGAGGGTGTTGAGCAACCATGGACCTCTGATGTTTATACAGTGTTCTCTGATTGTGCCTATGGCACCTCTGCTCTTCACTGGTTCTAT